TTTCCCATTGAAAATTTTTAAAAATTATGTGAATAATAATGTATTCAAATTATAGATTGATCCGAGTCATGATCTCCGGAATTCTAGCGCTTTGCCGAACCTCAGCGAATGTGCCCAATTCACGGCTATGGTCTGGATCCCGGCATTCTTCTTTTGGTTTCTGCTACCGATTTTTTCTGCTCAAGTATGGAAACTCCGACAAACAAAATCCTTTAAGCCGTTGCCTACCTCTTCTCTGTTTTTGACCAAATTTGTAAGTGCGTTTATGCGATAATTACAGAGATGATTACACCTCTATAGATCGCAAAGACTATCAGAAATAAGAGAGTACGTAACAAGTTTTGGGATTGACGAAGATTATCTTTTAGGATTTTTGACTTTCCGGGAAATATTTCGGAAAATGGTCTGAAGGGTGCTGGAAACACAACAGCTATAGTAGCTATATACTCCTAAAATTTTTTTTGATAAAAGCCAAAAATTTCCTACTGTCTCCTTTTGTTGCTACTAGGCATCGGCGAATCCGGATCCGAATCTCCTTTCACTGTCTGCACAAAGCCTATACTTAAAGCATTGTTTTTGGTTATCACATACTATTTCTATCTCTCTTTCTTTGTAAAAATATAATGCCGAAAAAAAGAATATTCCAGCGTCCTGCCTTTATCAAGCATCGCTTCGTTAAAAGCTGGGAAAACATGTATCTACGTCTCTACCCTACGAATACAATGGATTGTTATTTATTAAAATTTAATGAAAAACAATCCATTGTATTCGTAGGGTAGAGACGTAGATACATGTTTTCCCAGCTTTTAACGAAGCGATGCTTGATAAAGGCAGGACGCTGGAATATTCTTTTTTTCGGCATTATATTTTTACAAAGAAAGAGAGATAGAAATAGTATGTGATAACCAAAAACAATGCTTTAAGTATAGGCTTTGTGCAGACAGTGAAAGGAGATTCGGATCCGGATTCGCCGATGCCTAGTTGCTACCGATTTATGGATGATGCCTAAATGTATAAGACCAGAAGAATTTCGGAAAAAAAGGTTGTGCAAAAAATTAAGGAAATTTGCTACGAATAGCACGGTAGCTCGTATAAATTGAACATACTAGATTTCTCATGATCCATAGTAAATTCTGCCTTCGTCTTACCCTTTAAAAATATTTTCTTTTCCTGTCCAAAACAGTGAAAAAAAAGATAAAAACATTTTTCCGTGCTAAGTTGTATGGATTTTAGATTTTATGGATTTATCCTTTTTTGTGTCAAAAATATTTTCTGAAGAAAAGCGATGGCGCCGCTGCCAAACAAATTTGGCTTACGTTTCTTGTCTTCTACCGGAAGTTCTCGGGTTTAAAATATCCTAGCAATTTCTGGACGTGAGAAGGGAAGAAGAAAAAGGTGGACAAATATTATCTTCGTCTGTGAATTGGCGACAATTTCGACAATGACTGTTATGCTAATTGCTCTACATTATCAGATTGCAGGCAATAACCGGTATTTTATTCCTGGACGCTGTATTACTAAGTCTAAAGTATTTCGACGATGGAAACGATCACTCATTGCCCAGCATTGTCTACCTCATGTATCCTTTGATCCGGGCGGTCACAATGGTAATTTTTAAAATGTGATTATTATTACGGCAATATCATTGCTACAAGAAAGACCCGGTATATTTTAAGGCATACTTTTCCTTTACATACGTTTTCACCTACTTTAGCCGTAACTGTATTAAGTTACTGTATGAATTCTAGGCCGCAATGTTCTTCTGTATGCGTGCCGCTCGCCAAGTTGGTTTGGTCTCATCAGGAATTCTCTTTAACACTTGGCTGCTCCATATGATTTGTGCTGCGCCGGGTAAATCCATATTATTATTTTTAGAATTGTACACATTGACATCTTTCCATAATTTTTTTAACGGACGAATAACAAAATAATGAACGTTTTTACGCGGCGCCAATGATAGCCGGAGTTTAAAACTCGGGTTTAAATCTCGAGGAAGAATTACCAGATTTTGCCCATGGTCATATCCAGTAGGATGTTCAGGGTGGATGATTAGTATCCTTTTTTTACAGAATCACTGAACTCAGCCATCTTCCAATAGTCTTTAAGGCTTGAAAGCTGTGGTAATTGTTTTGTTTTATAGTTTGAGCTTTGGAGGAACTATTACAAATAAAATCAGGTGTGGCAATTAAAACATAACCCTAAAAATGTCAAATCTATTGAAACATAGCTCTAAAAATCGGCAAAAATTACCTTAGAAAGGTATATTATCAAAATTTATAAAAGAAAACATTATCATGACAAAACTTGCAAAGTAGTAACTTCTGTATAATATTTCAGAAGTCTACGGCTGGTACTTACGCCTCATATCCCATAACACTACCTCGCAATCCGAACCTTTCAGTGTGTTCCGCTTTGTAACTTCTTTGGTTTGGTTCATCGGAGTCGCCGCTCAAACTATACTTTTCGCCTTCGCGGATAAACGAAGCGAGGAAGAGAAAATGAAATACACACCGGAATTAAACAGCTCATTTTTTAATTGTTGCCTTTTGTGGTGGTTTGACCCGCTGATAATTCGCGGTGCCAAAAAGGATCTGACAACCGAGGATTTGTTCGAGTTGAATCAAGGAAGCCGGTCTGAGTATTTGGTGCCGTTGTGGTGAGTTAAAATGTGTTTTCTGATATACTTTGCAGTTCTTAGACAGAGAAACTCGCAAAAAATTCTGAGGAGTGAAAACTATTCATTACTGAGTGCATGTTCTGATTCTTGCGTAAAAATATCTGATTTTTCGACAAAAGTCGTTTTTTAGGGATTTATTATTTTTTTGATTTAATTGCGAGTTCGTAAAACTGATTGTGCTAATGCCCTCTGTGATAAACCCCTCTTGAGCAAAAAGCCGAATTAATTCAATTTTTTGCGTTTTTGGTTTCGTGACAAAAAAGGAGCCTGGATTTTTGCCTGGTTTGTTGTCAATGTGATCACCGATTTGCGATTATGGTTGCGGCCTAAACAAATGTATAAAAGCATATTTTTTATCTGGCAAATCACCACCAGTCTGTTTCTTTGGTGCCCACCAACTTTTCATGGATTCTTCCAAACTTCAGAGGTGGTAAAACCTTTATAATTGCAGTAACACCTTTGATAGAAATTCGGTAATTCTTCAAAGAAAATTTTTTAAAGAAAACTTCAATTTGTCTATTTTGTACTTTCAGGGAACGTTTTTGGAATCCAGCTATTGAAGGTAAGTAAAATTTGCAATTTTGATTTAACAATTTTTTCGGATTCTAAAAGTGTTTATTTTCGGAGAAAATAATGGTTTTTAAGAATAATGACTAACTATAAAAGTTGAACAAATTCATTCCCCTTCTTCCTCCTTCTCCCCTTTCTCACTTTACTATACCCAATTCTTGTACAAAATAATTATTAAATTGTTGCTATACTGAACTAGAACATATTTTCCATTTACTGTTTTAATTAATAAAACATCTTAAAAATAAAGAGCTTACTAATGAAGTGTTGTTTCCAGTGTATAACCAGAGAAAAGAAGCATTATTAGCGGACGGAGCCACCAGCACGTTACTCTCACAAGGCATTCATTCCATAGCACTGATTAATGAGTACGTTTTTGTATCTGACGTGCGGGAAATTAAAACACCCCAATGTCTTTGATATTAAGCAACTTTTGTGAAAGTTGCTTAATTCACATGATGTCGAAAATTTTATTTTGGAAAGAAATAAAAGTCGAAAATGCTGATTGCTCTTTTATGCACAATATTTAACAGTCGAATGTTTAACATTCATATTGTTTTAAAATATTTGTAATACAGTTTTCAAAAAATATCAGATACATTCATTAATTTTGAGCAAAAATGTATTTTAGCCTATAATGTAAATCATTTAAATAATTTCAGCTCTCCAGAAAGAAATAACCGTGTCAAAAGAAAAGATAAAAGGACAATTCCACCGCCGTCAGTCGCGCACACCCTCTTCAAATTATTCAAATGGGAACTGCTCTCCTCAGGTGCTATCAAAATGTGCGCCGACGTCCTGCAATTTGTCAACCCGTTACTGCTCAAGTAATTAGCTTGTACCTGTTGGCAACAATTTTCGAAAAAAAGTTGTTTTCTGGAGTATGAGCCTACCCGGAATAAAAAATAGAAAAACAAATTAGGAAGAAGAATTCTTGATGAGCAATAGCAAACCAAAACTTTACGCTGCATTCTTAGCGTATTCAAAGTTACCATTCTTCATGATAGAAGTTTTTCAGGATGTTGATTGACTTTGTGACGGACGAAAATGCGAAACTATGGCAAGGAATTTCCTACGCCTTGCTCATGTTTTGCACTTCGCAACTAAAATCCTTGATGAATACATACTACATTATTGTGGTTTATCGCGTTGGAATCAAATGTCAAACTGTTCTCACTGCTGCAACTTATAAAAAGGTAAATTTTGTGGTAAATTGTGCCACACCACAATTTTAACATCGTTTACACTAGGTCTACGCAAGCATGGATTCTGGACTGGGTTTTGTATTTTTCTTTTCCCTAGCCTATGTTTTATCACAGCGCTGTAGTCTCTACAGAATGGGTTGCGTTGTAAAGTAGACATGAAACACGTCTTTTCGACAGAGACAAAGGCATACACAAACCCATTCTCATGTCTGCGCTGTAATGCTCTTTGCACTGCAGACAAATTTATTTCATTTCATTTTGTGTTTAAACAAAGAATCTAGAACAAAGAACATAAAATCAAATCGATTTGATCGGACTGGATTTACGAAATGGGCTGTTCGCTGGGTTTTGTAGAGAGCACTGAAATACACAAAACAAAGAAGAGACTGTGACTAAACTAGAGACTGGGAAGAGAATAATACACAAAACCCATTACAGAATCCATTCTTTGCGTAGACATAGCATTATTACTGCAGTGGAAATATGGGAAAAAAGTTATTTACAACTCTTTTGAGAGATCTGGGATAAATAAGACAGATAAAAAGCTAAGGCCCTACCCTGACTCGAACAGGGGTCGCCGGATTCAGAGTCCGAAGTGCTAACCGCTACACCATAGGGCCGATGTTTCCGACCTCTCTTTTGCTGCCTATATTCCTAATCAAAAACATTTTTTGAAACATTTGCGGAGAAGATGTAATGGTAAAAAATGCAACCAAAACTTTGCTTTTCAAGTTTTTAAAACAAAATTTTGGATGGTTCTATCATTTCAATTTTGAACTCTGAATCCAGCGACGCGTTTTTATTTTTTTAAGTTGTTTTATTTGTTTCGGGCCTCTTAAAACATTGCCAATTCCTTTCCACCTATTTCTTGTAAGTCACCCCGCAGTGGTAAGTAAATTTTGGGTGCAGATTATTGGAAAAGGCTATTCACAGACATTTGAATAGATCTGGATATTGATAATAGGGAAACAATAAGGCAAGCTGCGTCCAGACTCAAGCCTCACACTTAAACTTAAGGCCAAGTATTGTAAGTCTTAGTTGTTCTCCTAAAACCTATCTTCAATTTGGGTAATTACTAGAATCTTAAGTTTAAATTCTCTTTTAGACACTTCGTTTGTCAAGTGCAGCCAGACGTGATCGAACTGTGGGAGAAATAGTAAATCTTATGGCTATAGGTATGAAATAATTTCTATTTATTTCTCTCGATTCTATTTTATTTCTTCCAACAGTACAGTGGAGAATACTTGTACAGCAATTTATTTATACAGCACGGTTGCGTTCCCAATCGTGCTATATAACTATGTACTTACAGATATCGAGAAAATTCAACTGACCACAAGCTTTATTCACAATTTTTGGTCATGTCCTTTCCAGGTAAGATTTTACCTTCTCTTTCTGAGAATACTTGCGAACAAAATCTGATGTTCTGAGTATTTTGCGACGAAACTCGTTAACTCTTCATTTCCCAGTGTATGATTGTTCATACGCTTTTGGTGACCCCCATTGATTCCCAGTGTATGATACATCATACGCAACTTGGGAGTAATTTTTGGTCAATTTTTTGGTATCCGAGCTAAAATCTGATATTACTCTTATAGAGTCAACTTTTTGTCTTGAATACGAATATGGAATTAGTTTATGTGTTTTAGATCCAAAAAAATTTTTGCAATTTTTCCCCAGAGCACAGGTATCATGGATTTTCGGAAAAATCCCGACTTTTGACCCCCAAAAATTGGAATTTTTGGAGGTTTTGAAAAAAATAATATTTTTCCCGTTATCAGGGGCCCAAATGGGCCCTGTATACCAAAAATTATCAAAATCCTACGGACGGGCATACGGGGGTCTCCCACGGCTGGGCATGAAGAGTTAATATTTCAAGTCGGAAACCCTTCGTCTGATACATTCTACTGTCGTTTCAGATTATTCTGGCTTTGATATTTCTATACAATACGCTCGGAATCGCAGCTTTGCCTGGAGTTGTCGTGATGGTGATTTTTGTACCTCTCAGTGTGTTCAGCTCTTATTTCACCAGAGACTGGCAGGTGAAATCAACTTTAGCTTTGCTTAATCGTTTTCGTAACAAATTTGTCAGAGTAATTTTGTCACTAAACTACTTTTTCTATTCACCAAATGGTTTTTGATACTCTATTAGTCGAAATTATGTTATAATTACATACAGTTCCTTCAAATTTGGAAAGTCGGTGTTAAGGAAAAGATTAACCATGTTGTTATTAATCAAGCTTCAGTCAACGGTTTAATGAAGAAGACTTAATTTCTCCACTATATTTTTGCATAAATATTGAAGTATTAATCCCAACAGACACTTTGTTGTGTTCGCTTGAAAAATTCCATGTTTATAGCAAAAGTTTTCAGACAAAACAAATGAAGCTGAAAGATGAGCGCACAAAAATGATCAATCAAATTCTCAACGGAATCAAAGTGATCAAGTTGTATGCGTGGGAAATTCCAATGATGGAAACGGTTGAGACCATTCGCGAGAACGAACTCGCTTGCATTCTTAAAGCTGGACTCTTGGGAAAGTAATTTTTGTAATGGTCAGATATATGTACCGTTATAATTTTAGTGCAATCGAGACTTTCAACATATGCGTTCCATTTTTGGTATGTGTTCATTTAACTCACTGCTAAGCCTTTAATCTAAAGATAGCGGGAAAGTGGACATTAGCAGGTACCCATGGCTTATGGTGCCCATATCACGGAATCGGGAGTACCCAGGTGCCGTTCGGGTACCCGCTGTCCTTATTCTAAGGCGCCTATTAACTTACTTAGAGTCGTTGTGATATAATGTTGCATAGTTGAGTTCAGGTAGCGATTTGCTCCTTCGCCACATTCTCACTTTTGAATCCGTCCAATTCTCTCACGCCTCAAGTTGCCTTTGTTTCTATGACGTTATTCAATCAAACGCTCACTCCGATGCTTTATTTCGCTTTTTTAATCAATCAGTTCGTTTCATGCTTGGTTAGCAACAAGCGCCTTAAAGAATTCTTGGTGGCAGAAGAAATCTCAGAATCTGCTATAGATAGAACGCCAGAAATCGGAGGTCTGTTTTGAATGATATTAATAATAGTTTATGGGTTAGATATTTTGGTGGATATAATTGGTTAAATTTCGAAAAACATTATGAAAGGGTATATTGAAAATTTTAAATCCTTATAGTAAGTTAAAGCGCTGAGTACGTAGAATGGGATGTACGTAGAATGGGATATACGGGTAGTGGATTCTTAGGGGTGCTTAAATTTAGACAGGTACCTTATTAGGGTAATTTTTAGCGGGGAATCCGAATTTGAGGTCAAAATTTAGCTAAAATGTAGACAAATTTTAGACAAAATTTTTGAAGATTCTGTCTTTTATCACCCAAAATGTGATTCTTAGGGGTGCTTATTTTGTCACTTCTCGCTTTTTTCAACCAAAATGTGATTCTTAGGGGTGCTTATTTTGTCACTTCTCGCTTTTTTCAACCAAAATGCGATTCTTAGGGGTGCTTATTTTGTCACTTCTCGCTTTTTTCAACCAAAATGCGATTCTTAGGGGTGCTTATTTTGTCACTTCTCGCTTTTTTCAACCAAAATGCGATTCTTAGGGGTGCTTATTTTGTCACTTCTCGCTTTTTTCAACCAAAATGTGATTCTTAGGGGTGCTTATTTTGTCACTTCTCGCTTTTTTCAACCAAAATGTGATTCTTAGGGGTGCTTATTTTGTCACTTCTCGCTTTTTTCAACCAAAATGCGATTCTTAGGGGTGCTTATTTTGTCACTTCTCGCTTTTTTCAACCAAAATGTGATTCTTAGGGGTGCTTATTTTGTCACTTCTCGCTTTTTTCAACCAAAATGTGATTCTTAGGGGTGCTTATTTTGTCACTTCTCGCTTTTTTCAACCAAAATGCGATTCTTAGGGGTGCTTATTTTGTCACTTCTCGCTTTTTTCAACCAAAATGTGATTCTTAGGGGTATATATTTTGAAGTTTTAGCGAATTTTTTGAAGGTCCATTATGTTTATTTCGAACTGAATTTGCTAATTCTCTATCACAAACCTACTAATCACAAACCGACCTCACCCTAACCATATACGCGAGACGCCGGAGGCGGCGAGCCAGTCCTGTGGTCATTGCGAGGGCATACTGATACACCCTGGAGTCCTGTGGTCGGGCGCGGAGCGCCCGACCTTCTCCCTTGGAATGTGAGGGAACTTAGAACATATAGGCATAATGTACACAAAACTTTTAATAGGACTCCCGTAGGGAGTCGGATGAGGGCCGAAGGCCCGAAATAGTCTCATGCTGCTCTACTCCCGAACAATACTTACTCCCGAACAACCCAATCTGACCGCTGACAGCGGTGGGCATACTGATACAGACGAGGGCTACTGATGGCGGTGCGCGAAGCGATGACGAACCCAATCTCCCGCTGTGCACGCTAACCGCTTCCTAGCGAAGTGAGGGCCGCGAAGCGGCCCCACTTCGCTAGTTGGATGATAGGTTGAAGTCATTATTTCGCCTGTAATCCCTGACAATGAACTTCTATTGCAAAAGTATAAGTCCAAAAGGGTTTAGGCATCTACAGATAGTTCCCAATTAAATTCAAATTAAATTCAGCTCTCAACGTATTGTGTAACCAAAAATTTTAAAGAGTTTCCGACCGAGATTTTACCTCAAGGGATTTTCGGGCACGCTTAGCATGAATTTGACTTGAGTTTTTGCTAATTTTTGCTTTTTTTTGTTAATTCCAAGTCAACTATCATGCCATTATGCCCAAGTTCCCTGTGAGTTAAAAATATCGTCCTGAAACTCCTTAACACGATTTTTTAGCCACTTGCACAGTTTTCCATTTGCACGATATGGGCTGCAGAGAATTTATCCTATATTTTTCTCACATTTCCGTAATACGGAATTTAGAGATTTCAAAAACGTTTTGCATGTGTATTTCCAGGAGGCCTGGAAGTCATTTCCGTGCGTGACGCCGACTTCAGCTGGGGCAGTATTTCGGAAATGGAGAAAAACGCTGGCACCGAAACCGAATCCTCTTTGCCCTCGTTTCCTGTTTTAAATGTTCAAGACGTGAATTTGGACGTGACAAAAGGTACTTAGTAATATTTGAAAATTATTACTTGTATTATTTTTATTGCGTGTTTTAGGCTCATTATTAGCCGTGGTGGGAAAAGTAGGAACTGGAAAGTCCAGTTTGCTGTCTGCGCTTCTTGGAGAAATGGCGGTAAGTAATGGGATTTAAAAAACGAAGCTTCCGCACAAAAGACGAAAAAAGCTAAAACAAAATTTCGAATGAAAAATTGAATGCTCCAATTCTGAAAACTGTACCTACTACCAAAAATTAAAATTTACCGTTTTGGTTATTTTGAGCTGAAAGTCAATATTGATCATTCTTGCGCAAATTTGTCTTTTGCTCATTTTTCTAAATTTGGTTCAGAAAACTTTGGAGTATGAAATGTAAAAATAGGTGAACGTGGCTTTATTTGTTTTCAAATACTTGTCTTCAGAAAGTGCGCGGATATGTCGGAATTTGTGGCCGGGTTGCTTACGTTCCACAGGTAGGTAGAATTTGTCCAGCTCGGCTAAGCTGTTATCGTTTGCAGAGTGCTTGGGTCAG